CACCGGGGCACCAGGGCTCTGTCTCTGGAGAAAGAAGTGTCATTGGGGTGATAAGAAAGCCCTGGGTTGCTAATTAATAGCTTACCATTTTCCAGAAAGAGAGGGAGGCCATGAGCCATCACCCCTGTCAGACAATCTCACTTAAGGTGACAAGCAGGTCCTGCCTTGATGGCATTCAGGGGACCTTAGCTTCCCAGGAAAGAAGGAGCCTGAGGTCTCTCAGGTGCTTTGCCCTCTGGTCCTGGGTCCCCTTCCCTGCCTCAGATGGCCAAGCTTTGGGTCCCTCCTGTACCCAGTAAACTATTATCTTCCACCAGACAAACAAACAACAGACAAACACAAACAAAACAAAACAGGAAGAAGTAATAGCAGCTTACTTTTTGGGAGCATTCACCATGTATTGGGCACTGTGCTCAAAGCCTTAGTTTATTTAATATTCACAATGATTCTGTGAAGTAGGGATAATTAGAATCCCCATTAAATAAAAGAGGAGACCCATGTTTGGAGAAGTTAAGTAACTTGCTCAAGGTCACGCAATTAGAAATGTGGGCGGGTGTGCTCTGTGGTCATTCTGGCACTGGTGCTCAGCTGAGATGTCTGCCTGGTGTCTGAGCACCCAGTGATGCCCACTTCCCCAGCCCAGGCCAGAAGCCACGTGCCCTGCACAGCGCCAGGTCACTGGGTGTGTTTCTGAAGCCGAATTCCACAGCTATTTGCTCTCCCAGAGGCTGCTGGGTGACTGGCCAACAGGGTTTCCCAAACCAGGGACCCATGGAATACTGGTCTCCTCTGATACCTCCATGAAGATGTTTTGCACCTAATACTGAGTAATGGACTTCTTTCCCCCAGTTTCCAAGAAGACTTTGCAAAAGCGTAGCATGTTCTCGGTTGAACATTTTTCTTCCATGAATTTCTCCTCATTGCTTTGGAGCTTGCTCCTGTTCACCAGCTGGCTGGTGACAGTAATGACAAAACAACTGAACAAGTAGCAAGCAAATGAGTGTTGACAGAAAAACTTGGAGATGTGAGATCTTTGATATATTATGTATTATGCCTTGAGATACAGAGACACCTAGCTATATATGAAATAGTTATATTATTTCTATGAGTAAGGCGGTTCCTAGTTTGTAATGATAAAGTTAAAGCTATCTCTGTTTATTAGTGTTCATGGTTTGCACGTGTTCTGCCCACTAAACAAATTTCAGAACTAGGAGATGTCCAAAATCATATTGGGCAGAGCTAGATAATTCTAATAAAAATAGCAAATATTTATGATATGGCTTACTACATTCTAGGCACTGTCCTGAGCAATTTTGATGCACTTGATCTCGTTTAAATCTCACAATGACCCTATGAGGTAGATACTATTACTGTACCCATTTTACAGATGAGGAAACAGAGGCTGGGAGAGATTAAAACCAGTAGAGATGGACATTGAATGAGACCAGTCTGACTTTAGAGCAGTGCTTCTTTCTCTCCAGCCTGAAGGGGAAATAAAGAAGGAAAAAGGCAGGGAGGAAGAATACAAATAAATATGAAGAGCACTGGGTCAGGACTCAAAAGGTGGCTGAATTGCCCGTCAAAATTCTATCTGCCTCATAAGGTTGAGGTTCAAACAAGACATGAGTGGGAAGAAGGCTTTGAAGGCTGCTATGCACCTGTGATTTACTAGAGGGCAACACATCCTGGTGGGTTGGTCCCAGCAGGCCTAGGGTAGGAAGGCACATATCTCAGGTCATCTGGGCCTTTGGACAGCCCTTGGGCCATTATGTACCTTCAGCCAGGCTACACGGGCTGAGTTCAAGGCCACATGTAGTGATGTTAAAGGGGCTAAATCCTATACAATCATACCCATCCTGGCCTAATTCTGGTCTTACCAGCCTTGCTCACCACCTTGTTCCCCTGTGTGGGTGAACCCACTCAGCATCAGGACCTAATTCTCCTTGCATTGCCTGCCTGCGAGATATCCCGGAAGAAGATTCTCCAGGCAGAGGAAGGGCCTCCTGGTCTTACATAACCAGTATTGAGCGCGGGGTGCCAATTCCCAATAATCCATACCTCTGCCTTCCCTAATCACATCTCCGAGGGAATAACAGCCAGGGCGGGGGTCACGTGGAGACGCATTCAAAATAGCAACCACACGGAGGAAAAATTGATTCCTCCACCTCTCTTTTCATTTATGAATTCAGTTTTTTTGTCAGGCTGAACATTTAAATGCACTCTACGCTCTCTGGATTTCCCCCATTCTCCCCCTTTCTCATTAAAATTCTAATTATTACCAGAGCAAGCAAGATGTATGATCAAAGGAAAGCAAAACCCTAGAAATACCTTTTGTTTTAAGGTGACCCATATTGCAGAGACTGCACCCGGAACAGCTGTAACAGAGAGCAGATGTGGAGGGCCCAGAGATGGCCAGATGCTTAGAATAAGGGCACCCATACCTGTGGTAGCGTTCCTGGTGAACCCCAAGGGGATCCAGGCCTAAAACACAGTCCTCAAACCATTTAGATCATGAACTCATAACAGCAAAAATTATTTTGATTTAATACCTCCAATATGTGTTTTTTGTTCCCACGTTCTATACACACGTACAGAGGGGGTATTGTAGAGCTGAACTGTCTGGGTTGTATCTCAGTCCAAACACTTACCAGCTGTGCGACCCTGGGCAATCTATTCAACCCTCTGTGCCTCAGTTTTCTCATCTGCAAAGTGAGGATAATAACCTTTACCTATTTCACTGGAGAGTATTAAATGAGTGAATACATAAAAAGCGCTCTGTACCTTGGACATAGTAATGTTCAATAACTTGACTAAATCCAACAATAAAATGGTATCATTCCTATTACTGTCAACCTGTATATTACAATTTTGCTTTCTTATTTTTAAGATAATAAATAAATATTATAATAATAAATAAATATTTATTTATTTATTATAATAAATAAATATTAAGCAATCTGATATTTTTTCTCTTGTGCTCCCAGGATGCATGCACACCATAATTGCAGATCTTCAGTCTAGAAGTTAAATAGGAATCAGTTTTTCTGGTCCCTGGCGGTCTCTGGTGGACTAACCTCAGTTCCTGTATTGGGGAAAGACTCCGCTGTCTCCATGCAGGGACCTGGGGGCTGGAGTAGGTTGCTAAGGACTTGAGGATCCTGTGCTCTCATCCTTTATTCCTGAAGGTGGTAGCTGGTCAAGGCCAGTACCCTCCAACCAGGGAGCTGGGAGGCAGTGCTAACTCCCCAGAGAGGGTGGCTGATGTTCTGGCCTCCTTCTCAGGTGCCTTTGGATGGGGGACAGCTTTCACGGGGGCCCATGTGCCGTGAGAGTACTCTTGATCCCCCAAGGAGGGACTGGGCATCTCTATACTCCCAGTCTAGCTTAGCACCTGGAACATGGCAAGTGCTCAGTAAATGTTGGCTATGAGATAATGACAGCTGTTTTATGTGCCATTGATTGACTCATTCATTCTCATGTGTCAGTTTCTATGCTGAGCCCTGAGTCAGACAAATATAAAAAACACAGGGCTATAGTAGCCTATAGTTTAATCAGGGACAAAGAGTCTGGGACAGTGGAATGAGCCCCAGGCTGGGCAGTGGACATCTGGACCCTGGTCCAGGCTCTGTGTCTGACCTGTGACCCCAGGCAAGTCCCTTCTCTGGACCACTGCTCCCATCTGCAAAAGCACAGCCTCACTTGTAGGGTCATTTCTCATCTTAAATCCCAAGATTCTTAAGGCATGGGGACAGGATAATCCAGAGACTACAAGATCACAGGCCTGCAGGGGCCAGGCAGGTAACAGGGAGAGCAGCTGGTGAGCACGCAGCCTTCCGAAGGGCATCGCCAGTTCCCACCATGCGGGAGCATAGGTCTAGTTAGCAAGTCCTCAGGCCTTTTCCAGAGAAGCCAGAAATCTGGTGTGATGATGATGATAGTGATGATGGAATTGCTCAATGTTTCAATCATCATGTAAGCCAGGTGAGCCTCCTCTGCTGGCCTGTCTACAAGTGACCTTTGTGCAAACCCATCATTGGTTCAAGGCCTCTGACATCTCAGAGTAAGAAGAGGCCTTGGGCTCAAAGGTTCATTCCTAAAGGTGGGGTGGGAAGCCTGCTTAATAATTTCTCCCAGAGGGAGGCATCCTTCACAGCTCTCCTGGGGTATTGGGCATCCTACTGGGGGCAGAGGTGGGCTGGGTGTGGGACCGTGAATGCCTGCCTCTGAACGAATCACGACATTCAGTTTTACAGCAAAGCTCTCACGTAGCCACAGGAATGGGGGGAAAGGACAGCTATCGGAATCCTCTGTATTTAGCTTTGAAGTCAACTGTGTGGATCAGATTCCGACTTACTACAAGTATTTATTGAGCCTACTGTGTGCAGAGTTCCGGGAGTACGGCAGAAGCATTAGACCTAATCCCCCTCCTCGAGGAGATTATGCCCCATCTCATTCACTTCGAGTCAACCTACTAACTATACATTAGCTCCTGCTGTGGGCTTGGCAGGCACCGGGTAAGGGAAGGGAATGAGGGTCCCCGAGGCCCCACAGCCTGTGGAGGAAGAGAGCTGTCTGCAAAACCAACCCTGCTGTAAATCTGGCCATAGTAACAGCTCTAATAGAAATTCAAACAGCATCCAAATGTGACTGCTTCACGAATTTGCACATTTGCTTAGGCTGCTATTTAAATTACGTTCCCTTCCCCATACACGTGCCCATGGGGAGGGGAGGCAACCCAGGTGCTCCCCAAGCTGGCGGTGGGGGGAGGGGCAAAGCTGGAGAAACCAGACCGAGGTGAACCCGAGGCTGCAGATATTTTGCAAGGTGGATACGGAGCATCAGCCCTACAACCATCCCTCCTCTACCTGGGCAGCCTTCTCATGACCACTCTTTTCTCTTCTTCCGTCTCTGTCCCTTCTGTGTGGCCCCTCTTTGAACACCCTTCCCTGTTTCTCCCCTCCTGTGTCTGTCCCTGTCGCTCCCCGCCTGGCTGAGGGCAGGCACCTCTGTCAGCCTCCTCACAGTGGTAGTTATTGTGTGTGGCGTGGCCCTGGTGGCAGTTTTTCTCTTTCTCTTTTGGAAGCTGTGCTGGATGCCCTGGAGGAACAAGGAGGCCTCCAGCCCCTCCTCTGCTAACCCCTCCCCGGAGGCCCTCCAGAGCCCCAGCTCCAGAGGCAACATGGCGGACAAGCTGAAAGACCCCAACACCCTGGGCTTCCTAGAGGCAGCCGTGAAGATCAGCCACACGTCCCCAGATATCCCTGCCGAGGTGCAGAGGTCGGTCAAAGAGCACATCATGCGTCACACACGGCTGCAGCGACAGACCACAGAGCCAGCGTCATCCACCAGGTGAGGGGTGGACCCCTCCCTTCCCTACCTCCACATTCCTGGATCCAATACATTAATGAGATTCCGGCCTGTGAGGATCAGAGACCAGAAATAATCATGTGCACATTCTGGTTGGAGAATATGTCCGATGATGTGCTCCTTGGTGGGGGATCAACTCGGAGGTGGGGGCCAGGAGAGGGGAACCTTTGAGGTGGGGTGCTGTGCAGGTGATAAGCCCTGGGATGTGTGTGGGTGCGAGGTGTTGGCTTATCGGAGGGAAGGAAAGACTTCAGGCTGAGGGAAGAGAATATGCAAAGGCGCAGAGGCAGAGAAGTTCATGACGTGTCTATGTCAATACAGCCTCCTAGATGGAGGCTGCAGTGCGTGGGAGATAAAGCAAGAGATTCCTGACACTTTGAGAATGAGGGTAGCTTTGGACAGCGTTCCCCGTATGACAGCAATTGTATACATGGCATTCTTTAACTGAAAAAACAAAATGACAACAAAAAACAACCACCACATAATGACGAAAACCTACTCCAAATTCAGAAACACTTTTCAGTGATGTGGTACATGCAGGTATAAGGCATTGTATTTGTTAAAAACTTGGGGCAACGCAAGAGGGAAGAGGTATGGGAACATATGTATATGTATAACTGATTCACTTTGTTATAAAGCAGAAACTAACACACCATTGTAAAGCAATTATACCCCAATAAAGATGTTAAAAAAACAAAACAAAAAAAAAAAAAACTTGGGGCTCTTGTGGATTCCTGGGTCCAGGCCCCCAGGGGACCAGCCAAAGGGAAGCAGGCCTGGTCTTCAGATTGAAAGCCAGAAATGATGAAAGTGCTGGGTCACGTTTACAGAGTTTGTTGTTTGACCTCAGGCAAGTTGCTCACCTTTCCTGAGCCTCACTTTTCCCAACTGTAAAATAGGGCTAATGACTCTCATAAGGGTATCCATGAGGAGCAGTGAAAGAATCCATGTGATAATAAGAGCTTAGTATAGGGCTTCCCTGGTGGCACAGTGGTTGAGAGTCCACCTGCCGATACAGGGGACACGGGTTCGTGCCCCGGTCCGGGAAGATCCCACATGCCGCGGAGCGGCTGGACCCATGAGCCATGGCCGCTGAGCCTGCGCGTCCGGTGCCTGTGCTCCGCAACGGGAGAGGCCACAACAGTGAGAGGCCCGCGTACCGGGGCGGGAAGCTTAGTATATACCTGGCCCTGTTCTAAGCACTTCATTGTATTTATTCATTTCACCCCCACAGCAATCCTATGCAATTGCTACTTTTATTATTCTCATTTTATAACACAGAGAGGTTAAATAACTTGCCCCAGGTCATACAGCTAGAACGTGGCAGAGCCGAAATGAACCTATGCAGTCTGACTCCAAAGCACAATAAATGTTAACTATGGTGGTGGGGATGGTAGTGGTGGGGATGAAGGAATGCCACGTGGAGGGTGGGAAAGGATGGTCCTTCTCAGTCAGGGAGCTTATGGTTTAGTGGGGGAACCAGAGTCATGCCTACCAGGAAAGAAACCTAGAAAGCAGGTAGCAGAAAAGCAGGAAAAATGATAATGATCACGATGGCTAACACTTACTGAAGCTTGTTATGTACCAGGCTCCATTCCAACTACTTTTCATATACTAAGTCATGCACACCGAGTGTGTGCAGAGGGAAAGGGGGTCAACGGGCAGGAGGAAAAGGGGGCCTCACAAGGGGTAGGATGAGCCAGGGCCCCGAGCCATGCCTGCCGGCATTCCCCCACTCCTTCCCCCACCTCACTCTCTCATCCCCTCCTGCCCTCCGCCAGGCACACGTCCTTCAAGCGCCACCTGCCACGGCAGATGCATGTCTCCAGCGTGGACTACGGCAATGAGCTGCCCCCTGCGGCTGAGCAGCCCACCAGCATTGGCCGCATCAAGCCCGAGCTCTACAAGCAGAAGTCAGTGGAGGGGGACGATGCCAAAACAGAGGCCAAGACCTGTGGGAAGATCAACTTCAGCCTGCGCTACGACTACGAGAACGAGACCTTGATCGTGCGCATCCTGAAGGCCTTCGACCTCCCCGCCAAGGACTTCTGTGGCAGCTCTGACCCTTACGTCAAGATCTACCTCTTGCCTGATCGCAAATGCAAGCTGCAGACACGGGTGCACCGCAAGACCCTGAACCCCACCTTCGATGAGAACTTTCACTTCCCTGTGCCCTATGAGGAGCTGGCTGACCGCAAGCTGCATCTCAGTGTCTTTGACTTTGACCGCTTCTCCCGCCATGACATGATCGGGGAGGTTATCCTGGACAACCTCTTTGAGGCCTCTGACCTGTCCCAGGAAACCTCCATCTGGAAGGACATCCAGTACGCAACCAGTGTGAGTACCGCCCTGCTCCCTGGGCTTCTTGAGGAGTTGCAGTCCTGGATTTGACTGGGATGTGTCCCGCATCCTCCTCACCCCTAGAGACAAATGGGCCTCTGCCCTTCAGGGTACGAAGGGGACTCTGACTAATAGCCCAGCCCACTCTGGGGAAGTCCTTGCCCTGGGGCCCACATTGCGGGGGGGTGGGGGGGTGGGCAGGGAGCAGAGTCCCCATGTGGGTGGGAAGGGAAGGGAACATATCTATGGCTTCTGATCGCATGTTCTGAAGTGGTTCTCTCTACCTGCCAGGCCTCAGGTCTACCACCTATAAAATGATATATGTCTTTCATCATGGGTAAGGATCGGGCCAGGCCCGTAGCCTGACTCAGACAGCAGTGTGAGCCAAGGGCCTCGGTGTGTGCTGGAAGCCCGGCACGAGCAATCAGGAACAGGCTGTAGTAATTGGGATAAACCAGGTTATGCCGTCGCCACAAACCATCCTAGGATTTGGTAGCTTGACGTAGCCAAAGTTTAGTTCTCATTCATGTTACATGTGCTTTGCAGCTTGGCCGTTCTTCCTTGTTACTTAGGGATCCAAGCCAACAGAGGCTCCGTTTTGACCTGTGCCCCTATAGTTACCACCTGAGGAGGAAGAAGATGTGGCAAATCATGTGCTCGTTCTTAAAGCCTCCATGCAGAAGTGGCACATGTCACTTTCACTCATATTTCATTAGCCAAAGCAAGACACATGCAACTCCTACTATCAAGGGGGCCGGGCAAAGCAATCCTACCACGTGTCCAGAAGGGGGACTGGAAGTACTTAACGACAGCACTAGTGACTACCATGCAGCAGAGCCCCTGCTCTTAGGCCCTGCCTGCCTGGGCCAGTCCGGGAGTTGGAGCGGGGCGGGGGGCGGGGCTTGAAGGGAGACCTGGCTGATCCACACATGCGGGAAGGGGATGCTTGGCTGTTCATGATCAACTGGAATTAACCATGACGGTGTCAAGGAGCTGGGGCTCAAGTTGGCTTTTAAGAGGGAGGACAGGTTTGGCACAGAGAGTTAAGAGGGCATCTCCAGAGCCCTTTGGTCCAGTGTAGACAGTGTTCTCCAGTCCCTTGGGTGGCTGTTGAGGAAGCTGTGTAATTGCATCCCACAGATGTAGGTGGCATGCCTCTCTCTAAGCCCAGCCAGACAGCTGAGAGCCCTGCAGGGGTGTTGCCACCAAACACCAATGGCCTTGTGTCTCGTGTCTTGAACTCTAACTGATTGAGTGTCTCCTGGGATATTTCTTGCACTATTTCCCTGAGTGCAGACCCTCCCTTTGGACAATCAATACTCAATATCTATGGGCTGAACTTGTAAGGAGAGAGGCTGGGAGAATCAGCCCCACTCTGGTGGGAAAAGGATAAGAATCGATTTGTTCAAAGAGAGAAAGCTTGGTGGGCTCCGTTTCTGCTCCAGAGAAGGTCTCTGGGACAGCCCATTCTCCTAGCTGCTGCTGACTTTGACCAGCCCTGTCCGATGTCTCACTGCCTCCCCTACTTTTGCTCTCCCGAAATGTCATCCGCAAGAACAGCACAAGCAGCGGGGCCGGCAGACAGGGCGGGCAGACGGGGCGGGCTGGAACAGCAGCTGTGTGCCCGCCTGAAGCCCAAGAGCTCCGCTTTATAAATCACTCTGAAGTTTACATCTGGTGCAGCTCTTCCCTTGTGGTCTCGTAAGGCAGCAGCTTCATTATCGTGACTATACGGGTAGAGAAAAGCGGCTCAGTCCCCCCCCATACTGAGGCTGAGGCCCAAGTGCTCAGAGAGAGGTAGGTGTGAGGGCCAGGGGCTGTGGGAAGCAGGGCTCAACTCAGCCCTCTGAAGAGCCTCCCTTCTCCTCTCCAGAGGCCTCCCTTTCCTGTAACTTGAGCTCCAGGCACGATGAAAGCCCTAGTCCTGGAGCGTGCGGTCCGTGCCCAAGGGTGCCCCTCCCCTGAATGCTAACTTCCTACATCCTAGAATTCCGTGGCTGTCCCTGCACTCGTCCCACACCCCTTCCTCAGCCCAGCTTCAGAAAAAGGCAGATTGTCCAAAAGGAGCTGGACAAGTCATTGCCACCCTCATCATCCTCAGTCAGTACCACTCTAACCCTCCTCCATCTCTTTCTAAGCAGGACTGTGCCAGGAACTCGGGAGCAAGGGGGGCTGGGATAGAAGACAGCCTCTTTGCGCCACGGAACTTTAACGCAGTAGCTAGTGATGCAAAGTAGCAAATACTGTGAGGCTGTAAGATCTGAGAGTTAGGACAGCCAGGGAAGGTTTCCTGGGTGGGGAAGGAGAATTCAGGTGGGTAGGGAGGGACTGGTATATATAACTTGATAGTCAAAAGCAGGAGGAGTCTGGGCCCAGGAGTTTCTGGAGCAGAAGATCGGGTCATTTGCTCACACTCTCTGTCTTGCTCGCAGTTTGTCTGCACTGAATGTTCTGCGTGGTGAGGCCCCTGGGGCCCTCCCATCCACAGCCTCTCCAGCAGGCCAGCTCTCAGGGGTGGGCTCTTTATCCTGGGGGGTGAGGAATCAGACAAAGGAAAGGAAAAGGTAATAAAAGGCTGGTGCTTTTACCTGGGCTTACTCTAAAATTGGAATTATTTTGAGGCCAGAGAGGCCCAAGCCCTAGTAACGGGCAATGATTGAGCACTCAGTGTACGTGAAATCCTTCAGCCAGCATCGTGGGGCGCGGTGCACATGAGCACAGCCGGCTCCCATCTTTCCTGCATGCCAGATTCCTGCCAGATTTCATTCCTAGAGCTGCATTTTGGGCCCCAGCTCCTCCGGCCTGCAGGCTTGTCGCTGAACACGTCCAGCATTTCTGCCTCTTGCCTTTGCTCCCAAGGTTTTCTCTGGCAGACAGGCTTTTCCCCCACCTCTCTGCGTGGCCCAAACCAATCCACCTTTCAAAGCTTCCCTGAAGCCCTTCCGCTCTCACAGCAATCACTCCTCTGGATTTATTTTCTGGGTCCCTCATTTATACACTGAGTCATCTTATGCCTTGCAGAGTCCCCAGTGGCTCAGGAATGGCTTGTGTCCCACATTTGACTGTCTCTTGTATTCTCCCTCAGGGCTGAGTGTGTCATTTTATGCAAACGTAAGAACTCAGCAGTTCTTGTTGAATGACAGATGGCTTAGTTAATTCAAACAAAACTACGTATTGGTGCACAAGGAAAGGATTATTAAAGAAGAAATGGAATTTGGGTGCAGTTAACCTGGGAAGGCTTCCTGGAGGAGAAAGTCAAGTAGTATTTTGAAAGTGAGTAGAGCCAGGCGTGGTGGGGAGAGACCTGGGCTGTGCATTCCTACAGAGAGATGGTTTGGGTAGATGGTTTATGTCTGGAGTAGCAAAGAGATTAACCAGCCTGGACTGAAGTAGAGGGTCAGGGACCAAGAGTCTGGGTAGAGGGAGAGGCCCTGTGAGAAGTGGGTTCGGGAGGCTGCTCTGATGTCACAGGAGTCCATGAATGCTGCTGCCCTGGTACTCCTCACACTTGTATGGGAGAATCAGGTGCGGCCCTGGCAGGTGGAACCAGGCAGGTTCCTTGTTTTGGCCCCCGCCCCAGTGCCCAAGGTGGTCTGAAGTAGCAAAGCCTGGAGCATTTGTGCTGTTTTCTTACAACCACTGAACATGGAGCTTCAAGGCTCGTGAAGTGGGGGTGTTCATCTGGGGAGGCTAGCCCTTTGTTAATTGCAAATCTTCAGCCCCAAGGGCCGCTCCCCCCAGTATCCCCAGGTTGTTCTGGATGGAAGCCTAGGCTGTCATGGAGCTAACATACGCCCCACCAGAGGGTGAGCAACAGGCAAACAAGGTGTGCTAGGACAGTCAGAGGTCTCTGCTGTTCCTGGAATCCAGAAGCTCAGGCATGGGCAGGTCTGCCACTGAGGCTCCCACCTCTCGCCTGGCTTGACTAAGATCCTCTGCTGGTCTCCTGGGCATTCCCCGTGGTTTGTCATTTTCTCTCCACACAGAACTTCGATCGGCTGAAACCATTCTGTTCTTCCCTCCCCCCTCTCCAGCCCCCAGTCTCATTATTTCTATATGAAGCTGTAGATTTATCATTACAATAGAGCCGCCATCACCAGGGCTTGGTAACATCTCTGTATTCTTGTAGTTATTGTTACAGAGGCCTCAGACCCCAGTGCACACAGGTATTCCTGTTGCCATCCCAGCTCCTTCATGGAGGCTGTCATTGGGGCCATAAACATGTGTTGTGCTTGGTGGCATTGATGGACTCGGCCAACTTCCTGCCTTACCAGGTCCCCGCCAGGTCAGAATGAGTGTGTGTGTGTTTGTGTGTGTGTGTGTGTGTGCAGGTATGTGTGTGTTTTGGGGGTGATGGAGTACTCCGTATAATTCCAGGGAGCCTGGACTCGGAGTCTGCAGAGAGGAGGGAGGGCCTTATGTGGTAGAACAGTCTCTTTTCTAGCCTGGGAACGAGCAGGGTTGTGTACAAAGAGCTCAGGCTTTGATACCAGACAAACCTGTGTTGCATTCTAGCTTCTGCGCTTTCTAGCTTTGAGACCTTGGGGACATTGTCTAAACCATGCCTCAGTTTCTACATCAGTAAAATGGGGATAATGATGGCACATACCTCATAGCGATATTCTATGTAGTAAATGAAATAAAATGCACAAGATGCCTAGGGCAGCACTGTCACAGCGCAGCCTCCTGAGCCCCATTCTTACAGTGCCTTTCCTTCTAACTCGGCCTGTGGGTCACTATTTGTACCACTCCCAGGCCTGATCGCCCACTTTTTTCCAGATCACCTATTCCGACAGGTTGTTGGTTGTTATTATTCCTGTTTTATTTATTTCTCTCTTTTACTTCTTGTCCTATCATGTGTTCTCTGTGTGACCTTGGAAAAGTGATTTGCCCTCTCTGAGCTGTGGTTTCCTCAGAAACTTGTTTCCAAGTTGTGAGATTCTGAGATTCTCAGCTTCCCCTATAGAGAAGTGGTTGGCTCTCTTGCTTTCAGAGCA